CATTGATAGTCCTCTTCTCAATGAATGTATCCAATCCTCTTCTGAAACCATCCAAGTTGGTGGTCATCACTGCCTCCTATGGGAGTGGGTTCCATCGTTTCATTATGCACTGTGTCATTTCTTTTATCTGTTATGAATCTTCCAACCTTCAGCTCACTGGGTGTCCAGAAGTTCTAGTGCCAAGAGGGAGAAAATCATTTATCCACTTTCTCCATGTCTTCTATAATGTTTATATACAATTCTGTCATGACACCCCTTGCCTGTCATTCCCCTAAGGTTTCTTGGCAGGTGGGTGAATGTTACTTACCGGGAGGGACAGGAGCAGTTGGGGGAGTTGGTGCCATGCAAACACACAGGTGGAGCCAATCTGGTGACCCTGCTGGTGTGTTTGCACCGTACTGACCTCCAAGCCACTTTGGCTCTCCCACTTTCCCTCCATGTAAGCATTATTTGGGTGTCAGCATTTTCATTCTCCCATTGCTGGATATGTGATTGTTACATCACATGTCTGTGTTTATTTTCCAGGCTTGGAAAGTGTGAGAACGGAAGTCAGTCTTATCTCTTCCGCTGTATTGTACTTTTGTACTTATTCTTTCTTCTCTCTCTCTTGGAGAAGTTGTGAGAGGACGCCATGGTTGCTTTGTCCTGTATATAGGTAAAGGGACCCCTGACCATTAGGTCCAGTCGTGGTCGACTCTGGGGTTGTGGCGCTCATCTCGCTTTATTGGCTGAGGGAGCCGGCATACAGCTTCTGGGTCATGTGGCCAGCATGACTAAGCCGCTTCTGGCGAACCAGAGCAGCGCACGGAAACGCCGTTTACCTTCCCGCCAGAGTGGTACCTAGTTATCTACTTGCAGTTTGACATGCTTTCATACTGCTAGGTTGGCAGGAGCAGGGACCGAGCAATGGGAGCTCACCCCATTGCGGGGATTCGAACCGCCGACCTTCTGATCGGCAAGTCCTAGGCTCTGTGGTTTAACCCACAGCGCCACCCACATCCCTGTCCTGTATATATTGCTTAATAAATTACTTAGAATGCCACACCTAAGCTCCACATCGTTTCTGCTATACTTTGCTGATTGAAAGTGCACATATCTCCAGATATGTGTCACTGGTGGGCACCGGGACTGAAGATTTATGAACATCCTGGGCTGCGCTTCACAAGGAAGACAGCCTGAGAGGTTTGTCTTGATCCAGGGGCTGTGTGTGCCCCCCAGGCATGTTCCGACATTGGGAAGCTCTGTAGCAGTGCCATCTCACCTAGTGAACTCCTTCTGGTTGGAATCTTCCTCCCAACAGAGCTGGAAAACTAATCCCACATAGCTCAGCCTTTGACTTTTCACTGACTCCATCTGCCAGCTTTTTGAAACACTTCCTGTGTAATATAGAGTAGCATAGCCGTTACTATGGCCTGTTGTCTCCCACTCGCTTTTCTGGGCTGTAACCCATGGCACCCTTGATCCTCATGTGAGAGGTATCTGCCAGGCAGTGGCTGCCAGTTAGCATGCCACCCCTCCCCACTCCCAGAAGCGTGGCATCATGCCATTTGCGAGTGAGGCAACACCAAAGCAGACACTGGAGCAATTGATTCAAGCTTATCTGAGCATTTAAAGATATAAGCCTGGATGGCTGATCATGAAACACTAGAGTGGGGAGATTAAGGCAATCCACTCTGGTTATAGTTAATCAGATCTTTTGCCTGCAAGGAAATGATCCAAAGCAAACACAAGGATTTCCTACCACTGCCCTCCCTTCTCCCCATTCACCTCTCCACCAGGAACACATCCGTTCCATTTCACTTCACCAGAAAGCCGGAGCTGTTAAGCATGAGAAAGATCTTTGGTGAAACCAGAAGCCAGTGGCTGATTTTAAGATTCTTTTCCATTAAGTTCATTGTTCTAGGTCGTGGCAAACCTGCAGCAACAGTACCAATAAAGCAATATAGATCATGCATACATAATGTGAGCCAACACCCAGGAACCGCCTTGAGCTCTTGGGATGAAGTGGAGTATATAAATCAAATAAATAAATAAAGTAAGTAAGTAGGTAAGTAAGTAAGACAGATGTTACCAGAGACACCAACAAACTCAAATCCAGATTGATTTCAAATTAAACCTCTGAATCACCACAACAGTTTATAGCAATTTTAACTATCTTCTTTTTCCTGATTGTTTCTTTTTTAGCCAGTGCACATTCTCTGTGTTGTTATTGTTACTCAGAAATGGGACCATTTCTGTTGCAGTGTACCTGCTTCCTTGTGTGAACAAAGGTTTCCTGGGTCTCTAAATAAGGGGCAGGCTAACAGATGATGGTGGTGGTGATGATGGTGATTATTTATATGCCACCTATCTGCTAGGATTCCCCAGCTATAATAATAATAATTTGTTATTTATACCCCGCCCATCTGGCTGGGCTTCCCCAGCCACTCTGAGTGCCTTCCAACAAATTATAAAACTACATCAAACATTAAAAACTTTTATATGCAGGGCTTCCTTCAGACGTCTTCTAAAAGTCAGAGAGTTGTTTATTTCCTTGACATCTGATGGGAGGGCGTTCCACAGGTGGAAATAAGGCCCTCTGTCTGGTTCCCTGAAACCTCTCTTTTCACAATGAGGGCACCACCAGAAGGTTTTCAGAGCTGGATCTCAGTGTGTGCACTAAATGCTGGGAGTGGAGATGCTCTTTCAGGTATACAGGGTCAGTCATTTAGGGCCTTAAAGGTCAGCACCAACACTTGGTGATGTCTTCCACCTGACATTGACTACAAATACAAAGTCTGTCTGTGTACAGAACCTTGTTGTAGCGGCCATCTAAGCAAACAGAGCTCAGTTCTAGAAAATAATAAGAGCCTGAAACATCTTGACAAGCTGCTTTCCAGAGTTGCTTATCATTCAATTCCATACAGCACAGGGCAGGAAAATGCTCAATAGGCAAAGTTGCAGTTTTTAAAATATGCTTTAACTGAGCACAATCTGTTCTTGCCTAAATTGTTGGCCCTTCAGATTCTGTATGAAGAAGAGCTGCTGATATTCCTGATGGTAGAGAGTATAAGTTCAGGGGGTGGTGGGTGGGATTTGTTCTGTTTCCAAAACTTGAATGGAGTTCGAAACAGAGCTGTAGATTACAATGCCATGGCGCATTTGGGAAAGCACTTTACTACCAGATCTTTAGGGTACTCCCAGTGTTGGGAAGAGAATCTTGGACCCCATTCACACCATACATTTAAAGCAGTGTTGGCCAAACTTGGGTCTCCAGCCATTTTGGGACTACAATTCCCATCATCCCTGACCACTGGTCCTGTTAGCTAGGGATGATGGGAGTTGTAGTCCAAAAACAGCTGGCCAACACTGATTTAAAGCATTATGATGCCACTTCAATCATGCAAGCAAATGTGAACGGCAATTCACCACAGCTGTTCTTTTAGTCTGCAAACTTTATGTAACCAATTGTGTTATTGACGGCATCATTTTCAAGGTTTCCCTTCCACAGAAATTGATTATTTTCACCCATAGCAGAAAGTGAGATGAACAATGTCAGTTTCAGCAGAAGCCGAATTGCAGTGGAAAGGAATCAGCACAGATGGTGACAACCACAGGATCGGATGGATACTGATATCTCCTTACACCCCTGTGTGCAGGCCTGGAGTTCAGGAGCAGAACTCATCAGCCCTGGGACTACATTTATATTTGTATCTCTACTGTATATTGAGGTGCTCCAGAATGGCTCAATAAGTGCCTTTTTCTGACTAGTTTCTCATGCAGATACTGATTAGAACCAAAAAAACCTAGCTGGGTGTGAATCAAAATCAGGAGATTCCATTTTGATGTTCCTTCCCCCCCTAAACAAAGAAGAAGTATTACTTCTTAAGTATCTCTCTATGAATGGATGTATTGTTTTGTTTTGTTTTCTGGTTTTCTGGGGTTTTCAACAAAGGTTTGCAAAGTTGTTCCTTCTTTAATACAAAGCAGGGCACTTATTTTCAATAATTTACATAGATCCTGCCAACCTCAACAGGGTATTCTAATGAATAACTTATTGGACGTTGTCACCTAGTAACGGGTCAGCTTCCCCTTTGCGTTTCATTTTGAAGGGGGCAGAGCCAGGCTTTGATTGGATTAACAGGAACGAAACTGCAGGGATGAAATTATAAAATATCCAGCCGTTATTTCTATAACACCTCCTGCTTACAAATGGAGCTCTGATTTTTTATCACAGCAGCCTCTGTGCCTCTCTGGACTCTGAATTGGAAAAAGAAAGTGTGTGCTTTTTCTGAATTAAGAACCACCTTTCATCTTTATCTCTCCATTTATGTGCTGATTAGACCTCTGTTTTCAAGGTGGGATCATCCCTACTTGATCCCAGAAAATCTCAGAAGGCTCACTACAAAGGGAAGTGATCTGGCTTCTCCATAGGGTAGCGTTTGGGGACCAGTTTCCCCCCTTTGTTTCCAGAGGGCCTATGCTTCAGTAGCTGAAATGATTGGAGATGACTCAAGCTCTCCGAGGCAGGCCTCCGAGCCCCTTGCTCAGCCTAACGTATGGAAGCATCATCTTGCTTGACAGGTTTTCCCTACCCCATCTGCAACTGCAAGGGAATCCATTATATTTTCCTAGTCTCTCGGGATGGAAAAGGTCTCGTGCATCATTACTCCTAGGCAAATGTAACTGACTCTACAGCATACCTTAATTTGCCTGCCATAATTATAGGTCACTCACCCTGTATATGTGCGTGAGAGGGAGCGTGTGTGTATGTACACATAATTTATTTATTTATGTTCTTTTCAGCCATACATAAGGTGAATCACACAAGATGGTGATATTTGAATTACTATGGAAATGCTGATTGCCCTCCATCGCACTCAGCAGCAGCATCTAAGCAGGTCCAACATCCTGTTTTGCGTTGAAGGAAGAGCTCAAAGAAACTGGTTGTGTTCATGTCCAAAAGTACTTGTAAAAGATGAAGAGTTTGCAATTAACACACACATACACACACACACACACACACAGAGAGAGAGAGAGAGAGAGAGAGAGAGAGAGACTATTCCTTCCCCCACCTGCAACTAACAAGAGGGTCAAATTTATGTGTTCTCTCTCTCTCTCTCTCTCTCTCTCTCTCTCTCTCTCTCCATGGAACTGGGTATAGGCTGGGATTCAGCTGAGAAGCAAAAGCTCCCTTCAAGGATCTAGCAAAGCTGTAAGTGAATGTCATGAAACGGAAGCCAGCCCAAGAAAAGAAATTCACATAAACACACCCAAACACAGACCCAATAGTAGGAGCGCAGGCATCTCCCCATTCATTTCACTGACTGCGTTTGCAAGTTAAAGCTGTTTTATTAATTATGTTTGACATTTCCTTAATTAGTTTCATTTACAGCCCATCAGCCCCTACCAGACAACAGTCCCATACATCATTTCAGTCGAGGTCTGAGAAGCCTACCGATTTTATTATTATTATTTTTCAGAGTGAGAGAGAAAGAAAACAATAGCAAAAGGTTACTTTTGTGGACACGCATTCCCTTCTCTGTCCTTTCTGTAAAACCAAACATTAAACAGATTGCCGTCCCTGGGGCTCAAGTCACTTGGAAGTTCTCCTGTGTAAAGCATGCAGACTTTCCAAGATACGCATGAAGCTTTGCCCTCGTTTTCACAGTTACTTTGGATTTATTTTTCATGGGGAGGCTTTGCCCTGGGTGGAAAATGTGCAATGTGATAAGAGGCAGAATTCAGCTTTCCAAGAAGCTTGGCTGCTGCTGCTGCTTTGCAAATTTCTAGTGATCTATTTATTTATCATTCTAAAAGCAAGTTTCTAGCCATCATCTCTTACCAATTATTCTTAAAACAAGCCCCTGGTCATTATTTATATATTTCTAGACATGTTGTTGTTGTTGTTCTAATGTTAAAAGTGGGTTTCTAACCATCATTATTTTTTTTCTAATTTAAAAAAGCAAGTTGCTAGCCATTATTAATTCTTCCTTCATTTTAAAAAGCAAGCTTTCAGCTGTTGTTGTTATCAGAATCATTATCAAAACCTTCCATTATGGCATGAACTTAAAGTATCCTGCAACATTCCATGTCCTTTCCGGGGTGTCTTTAAGAAGGCTTAAACTATCTGGATCATTGCAGGGCTGGGTCTTTGCCATCAGGCTGAAAACTGCCTGGAGTACCTGCTTGCTTTGGTTTTTCCTAAGCACCCCTCATGTTTCAAGGCCTTTGCCAAGCATTCTTACTTCCAGGTCCTCCAGAACATCAAGATAAGTTTGGTTGGCCAAAGGAATGGCAGCTGAGTTCCACCAAAGCAAACATCAGGCCCTTCTGTGAAACTGTGCTTCAAGTACAAAAGATAGAGGGTTTTCTTCAGTTTATGCTAAATGTGGATTGGAGCACAGTTATTTTGCCCCACTTTCACTTCTCCAAACACAGTTTTTGGCTCAAAGAACATGCAAAAACATACAAAAACCTGGAAGTAAAGAAGCAAACAAAAAAGTGCATTTCCTGGAAAATATTTTTTGAAAAAATATATATATATGGGCTTTTAGTATGTATATGTATGCACATGTGTGTCTGGGTATTTCACAATGACCAACAAAGCAGAAATGTTAAATTTATATAGCAAAACCTATCGGCTTCCACAATTATCAGTTGCTCTGTAAAAAACGGTGCTCTATCCAATACAGAGTTTTGAGGATGGAATGCCCATTAGGGGAAGGGCCATATGATTCTCTTATCCTATGATCAGAGTAGACAGTACTGAGGAAGATGGACCAATGGTCTGATAAATAGCTTCGTATGTTCCTCTGTTCCTTCGTTCACTGAAGCTACGCAACACTGATACTATTCTGTAGAATGAAGCCATGCAGGATATGAGGATATAGGATTAGAATGAGATGGTGCAGAATTATGAATGAACACCTACAAAACTGACCCAGACCAGAAACAGACTGATTCCTCCATCCCTAGCTCCAACTTCTATTTGTAAGCCAAGAGAGGAATGAATCATAAAAAAAAATGTCACTGTGCTATATTGCTTTCTAAGAAAACTTTTCAGAAACATCCCAGTTCTGGATCTCTCCCTGCCTCCCTCCCTCCCTCCTTCCCCTTCCCCTCTCTTTTTAAGTTCAGAGTACACAAAGCCCTTAGTGCACATTTTGTGTCTATATGGAATGTTACTGGGTATTTTCATTGGTGAAGAGTAAAAGCAAGAAGGTAGAAAGTTGACCTAAAATCTGGCACAGGTATTTCCAGGCAAAAGCCCTGAGAAGCTTCCATTCCCATAAATCTGCCTCATCTGGTGATGTTTTGGTGATTTTTAAAAACCAGAATTCACTTTGCTCTATGGCTATGGCACACTGCATGTTGATAAGGGATATGGAAGAAATTTGGTTCGGTTCACATTTTTTTTATACACAATTCCCTATTTCACACTTCCTGAAACAATACACAAACCAGAACACATCTATCCTCATCTTTCTGAATTTTGTGATGCCATTCTGCAGCCTCATTATGTGTGCACAAATGGGCATGAATTGCATCCATTGTTAGACATATTCAGAGGAGACCCACTGAAACTGAAGATCATAATTTACTTAGGGCCATTAATTTTAATTGGTCTGCTCTGGGCAGAATTTGTCGGATAAAACCCTATAGTTAGGAAATAACTTAGAAAAATGCATTGTATTAGGGAAATTTGCTTGTCAAAATGTGTATATCTGGAGAAATTCACACTAAAATACTAGATTTTAATGAGAGAGAGAGAGAGAGAGAAATCACAATCTAATGAGGAATTGTGGATATCTGAATTTGAGATAAGGAAAAAAGAGAGAAACTGTGAGCAGCAGAAATTGACAGATTGGTCCTCTGATAGCAGGTGACAGCTACAGACAGTGAAAACATTTGGAGTTTCTACAGCTGTAACTCCAAGGCATCAGGTAAATCTAGTATTTGGTTTCAGAAAGGACACGGGAAGTGTGTAATAGAGCAAAAAAGTTGAATCTGCTGCTTTTTTTAAAAAAAAGGTTTCTGGTGGATGCCTGTTTGTTCACTGATGAACCCAAAGAGGGAGAGATAAGAAAGAATCTGAGCCCTTTGAGGTTAACATACCGTGAAACAACATCAGTAACCCAAGATGGACATTATTAAGAGTCAGCCAACCTCGCTCAAAAAGAACCAGCGTGAGAACGAAAAGTGCCTGGAACAATACCCCAGGGTCTTTTCTGGTCCAATCGGTATATGTATTTCACATCCACTCTTGATCTCTCCAAATTTTTGTCTGAATTGTTTTCTCTGCTTGGAAGGAATTAGAGAGGAGAGAGAGAGAGAGAGAGAGAGAGAGAGAGAGAGAGAGAGAATAGAAGAAGACCAATAAGATAACCTAGTAGCAAATGAAAGCATCTTATCAACTCTTCCTTTAAAATCTCTTTGTGCCTTTTTCTCTCACACGCTGCTGTTGTCAGCAGCATCTTGGGGGAAACAGTCTGAAGCAAGATAAGGGAGAACAAATAAAGGAAGGAACAAGAGAGAAACACACAGACGCACGTGCGGGCAAACAATGGAAACTAAGCAGTTAAGTGCCGCCACTTATTTCCACCAAGAACTTGACTGGTATACAAAGTTCTATGAACAGTAATCTGTGCCTCCACCCGAGGTGGCGACATTCACTTCACAGTTTATCAACTTAGCTTTTCTTGGGGACCTTGATGTCCTCTAACCCAGCCACTTTCTAACTTTCTACCTCCAGAGACCCTTGTCCAAATCAAGTGGCCCAATGAAGAACTCCTTGTCCATTGAACATAGACATCCTGGGCATTGGGAAGGATTTTGGGGGATGCTCTATTGTCTTTCAACTTTGGGGGCCCAGATGCTGTTGGACTACAGCTCCCAGCATTCTCGGGCAGCTCAGCCAATGATCAAAGATGGGAGCTGTAGTCCACCAACATCTGGGAATCCAAGACTGAAGAGCATTGAGCTAAGGTGCTTTCTCCATACATTTGGGAAACCCAAGTGGACCTCATAGATGTCCTGAGTGAGTGTCTCCCATTATACATCTGCATCACACCCACAAACATCCCCATAAATAAATAATTTAGAAAATTTTACAAATCACATTGCTTTTTCTAGATTATTTCTCTAAAAGAAGGGTAGGGAACCTGTAGCCCTTCAGATGTAGTTGGACTCCAACTCTCATCAGCCCCAGCCAGCACAACAAGGATCAGGGAATTAGATTCCAGCAATATCTGAAGGGCCATAGGTTCCCCAACATCCCCATCATACATATAAAGCACTATGTTTCCACTTTCAAAAGGCATGACTTCCCCCAAAGTATTAGGGGTGCTGTAGTTTGTTAAGAGTGATGGGTTTAGTTAGGAGACCCCTATTGCTCTCAGAAGAAATGCAATTTCCAGAGTGGTTTAACAATCAATTCCTCTTTCAAGGGAACTCTGGGAATTGTGGTGTTTTGAGGGGAATAGGGGCCTCCTAACGACTCTCGGCACCCTTAAGAAACTACAGCTCCTACCATTCTGTTGGGGAATCCATGGCTGTTTAAAGTAGGATCATAGTGCTTTAAATGTATGGTATGAATGAGGCTTAATGCAAGCCCGTGGAGTCTATGCCCCTTCCCCAAGCCTAATGCTGCCCAGTAGCCAGATGTCTTGACCTGCTAGTTGCCTATAAGTCGTTCTAGGCTGGGAGGGGTGGATAACAGAAGGTGGGAGACATGCATAAACACATTTGGCTTGGTAAATCTCATGTGCCAAATTTGTGCAAGCCTGTTGTGATGTCATTGTGCCCACGTTTGATGAAATAGCTTAATTTGTTTTCATATATCCTAATAAACCAGATAACGAGTGGGCGTGTTGTGGGGAAAAACAGATGGGTTTTAGGCAGTAGTTATATTCAAAAGAAAAACACTGGTTTTGCTTGGAGATTATGCACATATGAAAGCTTGTGTGTGTGTGTGTCTATGCTTGCTCTGGACAAACATTTGTCATTTTCAAATACAAAGAAATTTCTATAAATTTGGCTGTGTTTCAGGAAATTCCACCAAATGCCAATTTCCTACAAACCAACAAAATAGGAAGGAAGGAAATCAATGCATAATTTTGTTCAATCTTCATTCAAGACATTTCTATA